TAAAAATTTTACATGCAGCAACAACTGACAGCAGTCATTTAAATTATATTGCTGAATTATATCCAGATGTGTCAAAGGACAGACTGCATTTACATTTCAACATGTTTCGCGATATTTGTAAGCAACGAAATATATCTATTACCTCAGTCACAGACATTGTCAACGTTTTAAAAGATACAAACGGACACGGTTTGAATGAAATGCTTGAAGAACTTTCTCGACTTATTAAAATATTTCTTACAATTCCTGTGACCACATGCAGCTCAGAAAGATCGTTTTCTGTCCTTCGGCGCTTAAAAACTTATTTACGTTCAACAACCAGCCAGCAAAGATTAAATCATTTGGCCATACTACATTGCTATAAAGAACGCACCCACAATCTTTCAATTGAAGACTTGTACAAAGAATTCACTTCTCGGAATGATTTGCGCAGAAAATCGTTTGGAACATGACTGCATTAAACTAGATTTTGTTAATGTTCGGGATATTTAAAAATAGAATTTCACTATTTACATTATATTGTTTAAACTGTTCACTAGATTCTTTAATGTTCGGGATATTTAAAAATAGAATTTTACTTTACATTGTTTTGCATTATATTGTTTAAATGTTTGACTTTTAAATTGATTAAAAATTAAAAATAAGTTTGAATTACAATTTGACTAATAATAATAATAAAAACTAAAATTTCGGTAACTTTTGAGCCCCCCCAATAATTTGAACAACTCGCCGCCTATGGACCTTAGTGGTAAAACGCATCTATCAAAGATTTTTAATCAACTACCATTAGACGTTTTCTTACGGAAGAGTTGATGGACAATTTATTTTTGTGACTCTGTTCATTATGTTGTTAACAAGCATCACCATCCATTTAATCTGTTTTTGAGATCTCATGCACGTTTTTATAACATCCGTTATCCAACATCCTCTTAGCACCATATAACATTTAAAATAACCAGCCACCATGTAATATTTTAAAACAACCAGCACCAACATCCTCTTAGCACCATATAATATTTAAAATAACTATAGAATTCGCGCCAATCAGTTTTTAGTTTTTTCAGCATCTTACAAGGCGATAGTTTTGGCTTGCCCATCAATAAAAGTTCTGCACCTAACTTGTAAATAAATTGAATCTGTTAATTATTTTTTGTTAGTTTATTAATTTATACTTTTTGCATAGTTTTTGCAAACTAACATAATTATCTATTATCATAATTAGCTATTTTTTAATGAGTTCATTCGAAAACAGTTATTGAGCAATTTTTGAATTTCTGTTTTTTATATACTGCTTTTTTAAACAAACCAACTAATAGGCAATCGAGACATGACTGGATCCGTAATTTTTATGTTTGACATTTTAATTGAACGGCTTTGCGGCTTTATCGATCCTCGTTTACACAATGTAGATTTTAATCATGTGGTACCACTGGCAGGACGTTGCTTCGTCTACGTGATTTGGTACAATTAAGAACATGCCTCCAAGCCGAGTAGTAGAGACTAGTAGAGAGGTTTTTCCAAACCATCCGCAGAGTTAACGTTCCCATCAGCAGAGTTCACGTCCGCAACCGCCCGCATTCGCACTGCTCTTTATCCGCACTTGCGAAAAGGCAACCTAAATCGGCCGTCTTAATCTCATGTTTAAAATTAGAAGATAGCAATACTAGAGAGCAAATTATTTACAATATAATTATAATCAGAAGATTTATAAGAGAAGAATTTAATAATTGAATTAACATCGGCCAGAACAACGAACACAAAATGAACGACGATGAGGAACTCAAACAAGCTATTTATTGATTTAATATTTATGAAGATGTTATGTTACATGTGTATATAGATATATATATATGTAGATATATATATATGTTGGTAGTATATAAGTATGTGCGTATCGTATATGTGTATATCAATCAATCAATTAGCTTGTAAAGCGCTATTTCCGCGATGTTCAACAGCGCTCCTCAATGAATTTTGAAAACCGATGGGTCTTGAGATCCGCTCTGAACTTCGTAAGTGATGGAGAAGTAGTCAGAAAAGTAGGTAGAGAGTTCCAGAGAAAAGGGTCGGAAAAAGCAGATTTGGCAAAAGTTAAGAAGAAGCGAGAACAAGAAGACGATCGTAAACCGGGGCGTTTAGGTTCAATTAATATATTTGATAAGTACTTAGGAAATAATTTAGATTGAGACTTATACATAAACCGTGCAAATTTTAAAAATTATTTTATATTTTATAGGTAGCCAGTGCAAGAGAACAAGATATGGAGATGAATGAGAAAAGAAAGGGGCACGAGCAACTAGACGAGCAGCTATACTTAAAGGATAGAGTATAGAATCCGGAAGACCATAGTAGAGCGAGTTACAATAATCTATCCTAGATAAGACTAACGAAGTAACAAGAAGGAGAAGAGTTGGATCATCAAGAAAAGGCAAAAGATTTTTTATTTTACGTAGATGAAAGTAAGAGCTTCTAGCAACACTATTAATCTGAGAAGAAAGAGACATACTAGAATCAAAGATTAAACCTAGACTACGAAACTTGTGAGAGACATCAAGAGTTTTAGAATCAGGTAAGATAATAGGAGGATAATGTAATGTTTTGTATAACACACATATGCGCACACATTTATATATACACGTATGTATGTGTGTGTGGGTAAGGACGTGTATAACATTGAACCATAGACATCTTGATGTATTAGCCTCTAGACCCGAAAGGTTTAACAATCAAGCATCATAACGTGAGCATAGTAGGCCAAGGCATTAAGCTATCGCTTCGTTAAATAATTTACCTTTGCTTAAACTATCTTTGTTTATTTGTGGTGCACGTTGTTTGTTAATGTTGTTGAGTTTCAATCATCGTTCATTTACTGAAAACTTTTGTATCGTTAATCGTTAATTATCTTCTTTTTAAATAATTTTACATTGTATTTAATATTTGTAATTATATATAAAATAGTGAATAAATGTTCAACTTACGGATGTAAAAATGGATACAAATCCAATGCAGCAAATGACGAAAAATCTACGTATCGTTTCACGCCTACCCATTAAAATTAAAAAATCCGGATCTGTGCGCTAGATGGGTACTTGCTAATTTTAGAATGCACCTTCATATTTGTTCACTCCAACGCAACCTAAAAACTGATTTTCTAAATAATTGTGGATTGAATGATTTAAAACAACGTTTATATGAAGAATGCACTTTCCCCTCAGAATTTGAATTGATGAACAATTTTATTTCAATGAAAATTATTCTAACATCTTGTCTATGCATTGAACTAACTTTCTATATTCAAATCAGCTGAAGTAATGAGTGGAAGCTGCTTTCTTGTCTCCAGGACAACGTGGACCCCAGAGAGACTCACCTATTGTCATTAAATAAACATACATACATTTTTTAAAAAACGCGCTCAAATCTGCATCCGCGGCAAACCGCACTGACCGAATCTACAAACCGCAAAATTCGAGGAAATTTGAGAATTTTTTATCCGCAAGTTGCGGTGCGGTAACCGCGGTTTGAAACCGGTTATCCGCTTGGGGCTCTAGTAGAGACCCATGTTAAAGAGTGACAGATTCGTTTCGAATGAACGGATCCAGCTCTAAAATGGCTCAGTAGCAGGGTTTTAAAATTTTATGAAATAACTAATAATGTTTTTTTTAAATCAAATATTTTAAAAATAAGAAATACATTATATTTAAACTACATTTACTAATTTACTATAAAATTTTATGTTTGTGGTGATTTTTATAAATTTCAAATTTTTTTCTAATTCAAAACATGAAACGTTGTTAAAGTTGACCACCCCGAAAAAAAATTGTTTTCCCCACCCCTATTCAAACCTGGCTACGTGCCTGCCTCGTGTTCATCCAACAAACCTGCCGATTTTCTTTGACTCCAACCAGAGCCTTTGCATTTATAAAACACGATGACAAGCCTTTGTTGCGAGTTTCTTTAGATATAAAAAACAACAAGTAAGAATGTTTATAACGTATTTATTAGGTATATGACTTCAAAAACAAATTTTGTAAAATTGAAATCGGCATGCAAAAGTTTGATGAACTTTTATATAAAAATAATAAATATAGCGAAAATTCATTATTTTTGTTGAAAAAGTTCACCCACCAACAGATTTTTTAGTTTGCAAATAATCCATTTTTTTCGTTTTTCTTAAGTTCACTTTTAATCTTATTGTTTACAATTAAATTTCATTTTTCTGTTCTCCATGTTGTGTTTCTGCATTTTAATCCAGTTTAAACAATTATTTTAATTTTACATCGTTTCATTTTGGAAAATGTCTTATAAACAATCTTCACTTTCTGTTACTAAAAATAAAGACAAATGGTCAAGTAATTTGAAAAAATTTCAAAACACTCTTAAGAGAAGAAACAAAATCAGCATTGGGATCAAACCTTTGTATTGTATTCACATTCCAGAATGCCAAAAGAGTGGATGATAATTGGTCGCTACTTAGGCTTGGCCTCTACTGAAAAGTCTAGATTAAAAAGAATTACAACACTCAGACAAGAAATAGAGCAATTGTGGAGTTTGTTGAATTTTCCAATACTATCTTTTTTTCTTTGCGTTCAGTAGGCAGAAAAATTGAAACTTTACTTAAAAAGTATGATACTCATTTGAAAAAACCTGTTGGTGACATGCGTGAGCAATTTGATAAGTTTTTTGATGTCACAAACAAAACTGGTCAATGGCTATGTGCAGAAGACAAAAAATTTTACCAAATTCAAATTCAGAGTAGAGGTAAGACAGGATATGCAACAACAAAAAATGCCAGTCAGAGTACAATTCACCCATCAAAACAAAAAATTGCTGGAAAAGTTAATGATAAACTAGAACAAAAAGACAGTTTTGAAGAAAGTTCTAATGACTCAAGTGACAATGAAGATTCTCAAAGTAGTTCTGATGACTCTGAAGCAACACAGTCATCCATTGAAAGCTTTGATCAAAGCACACATCTGAAGCAATCTCAACAGTCTACGTTTAGTGCAGTTTCATTAGTACAATCTGGGAAGCTGTCAGTTCGAAGAGCTGCCATAGTTAGCACAATTTTAAACAAGTCCGGTGTTAAAATAACATCTCCTCAGTCAGGTGTCTATAGAGCGGTATACAGAGAAGCAAGTAAAGTAATGAAAACATTAATGAATACTTTGTGTAATAGCTCATGGTGTTTACATTTTGATGGTAAAATTATTAAGAAAAAAGAACACCAAGTAGTTCTATTAAGAAATGAAGTAAAAGAAGTGAGGCTTGCTGTCTTAGTGTTACCAGATGGAAAAGCTACTACTATTGCATCTGCTATTCAAAAAAAGTTGGATGATTATAATCTGTGGGCAGCTATAAAGATGATAGTGTCAGACACTACAAATGTTAATACTGGGTCAAAGTCTGGTGTTGTGGTGAGACTTCAGAAACTTTTTGTTCAACACGGTGAATCTGCGCCAGTTTTTATAGGTTGTCAGCACCACATACTTGATCGTGTTCTTAGACACGTGTGTGATGCATTGCTTGGCGATTCAACTGAGTCTCCTAATATGAATTATCCATTTGTGAGTAAGATACTTAAAGATTATGAAATGTTAAAAAAAGATTTTGAAAGTAAAGCAAAGAAATGTACTCCAAATCTAAAAGAACAGGAAGTAGGCTGGAGAGACGATATGAAGTTTTTGCACCATCTAATTTGCGTTTTCAAGCATTTTAAGAATTTTCAACAAATGCCAAAAGTTAATTTTAAAGCACTCCCTGGCATCAGCAATGCCCGATGGAATTCTCGAGCAATTTTTGCATTGTTGGCTTTCATACTATTGCCTGATGAACGAAAGAACCTTCAGAAATTGTGTGAATTTATCTGTGGACAATGGAGTGGTGCTTGGTTTAGTGATCATTATTACAGAACTGCAAAATATGAATTTCTTTTATATGCTGTTAATGAATATCCTAAGGCGTTGCGCTGTTTTCAAACTCATTGGTCTCAAAGTCCATCTTCCATACACACTCAACGCAGCAATGTGTGTGCAGAAAGAGCAATAAAAGTTCTACAAGATATTGCTCCTCTTTGCCACTCATCTGAGAAACTAAATTTACGTTTTATTTTTGCAAATAAAAGTTTATGAAACCATACTTGAAATAATTGACAAATGGCAATTTTTTTAAAAACTTTAAAATGTTTAGTGGGTGACATTTTTCAACTTTTTTAATAATTTTGATATGGTTTTGTGTTTTTACAATAAAAAGTCATCAATTGATGGTATGCCATGCATGTGTTGTTCTGAAGTCATATACCTAGTATTTATTTACGTGATACAAAATAAATGAAAACGTGTTCGGCAATGCAATTAGACAAAGAGAAGTTCAATCGTAAAATGTCGCTAGAAGAAGGGCTGTTGTCTTTGTGTTGAAGCTATATATAGTAAGTCGTCACATGCTTAGATTAGGGATGTGCGGTTCAACAATATTCCCCTACCAGATCATCAACGCAAGCTGTTGATCGATGCTAATCAAGATATCGAGATGGGAGGTGAACTGTTCTTTCCGATCTTGTGGTTCTCCGGGGTGATGGAAGGTTGGTGTCGATGGATCGATTTGGGTGTGCTTGTGTCGACGTAGATGTTTCTGTTGTTGGCATGTCCTCGTCCGTTGATGGAGATAGCGTTGACGTTTTTGTTGATGCTGATGTGTCGTTCGACGACGGAATTAATTTTGTTGAAGGTATTGTGGAAGGTGGTGTCGGCGCTGTGGTCGTTGGCATGGGTGACCGTATTAATGGTGCCGGTGAGTATGCGGATTTGAGGCGGTCTATTGCCACCGTGTCCCTATGCCCCTTTTTGTCAATGACGAAATATTTTGGGTGTCGTTCTACCACTGTGTAGGGTCCCTCGTATGGAGGTTGTAGCGGTGAGCATCCGTACGAATAAAGACCTGTTCTGTAGTGAAGAGGTCTTTTGGAATGTAACTCACATTTGTACTTGTTCTTGGTTGTGTTGCTTTTAGGGTCTCCGCCCAGCATTTGAGTTTTAATGCATAGGTGTGTACATCGGTTGTCTCTGGCCATGGGTTTGGAAAATCTCCGGGAAGGCGGAGTGTTGTGCCGTAAACAAGTTCTGCTGGTGACAACTTTAGGTCTTCCTTCTCCGTTACACAAATGCCTAATAGTGTCACTGGTAATACATCCGTCCATTTGTCTGAACCGTGAGCCATAAGTGAGGCCTTAAGCTGTCTATGCAATCGTTCCATCATACAGTTGGCTGCTGGGTGGTAGGCGGTGGTGTGAATATGTTTAATGTTTAGTAACTGGGTGAATCTCTTGAAAGAAAAAGATATGAACTGGCTGCCTCTGTCTGTTGTAATGGTTTCTGGGACTCCATACAACGAAATCCAGTTTGAAAATAATTTATCTACAATTGTTTCCGTTAGAGTATTTTTGATGGGGATTGCTACTGGCCATCTGGTAAAACGATCGACACACGTTAAAATGTGTGTGTGTCCATCTGATGAAAACATTGGTCCGACTAAATCGATGTGTACATGCTGAAACCTGCTGCTTGGTGGAGGGAATTCTGCTGGACGTGAAGCTGTGTGTCGATGTACTTTGCTGCGTTGACATTGCAGACACTCTCTGCACCAGTTACGGATGTCTTTATCAATGTGGGGCCAAACATACCTGGCTCTAATTAATTTCGAGGTTGCTTTCGCTGGATGTGACAGGGAATGGAAATTCAGAAAAACTGATTTCCGCATGCTTGTTGGAACTAGAGGACGAGGGGTGCCTAACGAGGTGTCGACGACGATATTGTATTCTGAGTTGTTGACTGGAATTATGCTGATTTTTAGTGAGTCTGTGTTGTCAAGGAGTGTTGCATCATCCTCTTCTTCTTTCGACATCTCCTCCAGGTTAATTGCTTTTGGCGTTAAACGACTTGAATCTGAACGTAAGGCAAACGTCAATGGTTTATGATCAGTGAACTCTCGACCTTCGAGGAAGTGTTAAAAAGCTGAATACACTGCCAGCAGTTCTCGACCAAATGTACTGTAGCGGGTCTGCGCTGGGTTAAATTTTTGCGAAAAAAAGGCTATAGGTCTTGCAATCCCCTGACTTTTCTGTTCCAGTACTGCTCCCGCAGCAACGTCTGAAGCGTCTGTGAAAAGTTGAAAGGTGCCTTTCTCTTGAACTTGGTTGCCGCTAGTAATGCCTGTTTGGCCTCTCTAAAACTTTGTTGCTGCCCTTCGTTAAATTTTATGGTTTTCGATTTGCCAGTTAAAATGTCAGTGAGAGGTGACAGTATCGTTGAGCATTTAGGGATGAATCGACGGTAAAAATTGATCATTCCGATGAATCGGCGTAGCTGCTTGTCAGTCGTTGGTTCAGCAAAATTGATGATTGCCTGTACTTTGTTGTCGAGGGGTCTAATGCCTTCACTGTCGAATTGATGCCCCAGGAATGTTGTGGATGATTTGGCCCATTCGCATTTGGATGGGTTAGTCCGTTGTCTTGCAGTCGTTGAAGGACCTGTTCTACATGGCTTCTGTGTTCTTCGAGGGTTTTGCTGGCTATTAGTATGTCGTCAATGTATGCGTGGACAAAAGGTAGCCCTCTCAAAACACTATCGATGAACCTTTGAAAAGTCTGTGCGACATTTCTCAGCCCGAACGGCATCTTCAAAAATTCAAACAGACCAAACGGTGTTGTCAGCGCTGTTTTTTGGATATCTTCTTCTGCCACCGGTATCTGGTGGTAAGCCCGTACGAGATCTAGCCTCGTAAACCATCGCACCTGTTCTAGACTATGAGCGATATCATGGATGTGTGGAACTGGATATCGATCAGGTGTGGTCCTGTTGTTGAGTGCGCGGTAATCTCCACAAGGCCTCCAATCTCCTGATGACTTTGCAACCATATGAAGTGGTGATACCCAAGGACTGTTTGACGGTCTTATGATTCCGAGTTGACACAAGTATTCGAATTCGGCTTTGGCGGCTCGCAACTTCTCTGGGTGCAATCGTCGTGGGGCCGTATGATGTGGTGGTCCAGAAGTTACTATGTGGTGTTGTATCTTGTTTTCATTTTTGTTGTTGTTGACAGGCATCGTTAACTTAGGAAATTTGTCAATGATTTTACCAAAGTTGTTGTCCGAAGCAATGTATGGTTTGACGCCAGAGATTATATTGGAGCGTTCAACAACCCCCTGTATCTGTAACGTCGTGATGTTGTCAACAATTTTGTGTCTTCTCATGTCGACTGCAATCGGCAACCAATATTGCCTGTGTGACGTTTGCAATGATGAAAACCCATTTGAACTTACGTCGTAAACCGAGGTCGATGGTTACGAGGTCAATGGTCCAAATGTGTCGATGGTGGTGCCATTTGCAGCTTGCAGTTTGTAGTCAGATTTGGGTCTTCGGAGGTGTTGTCGTGAAGGTATGATACTTACCTGGGCTCCTGTGTCGACCAAAAACCTTGCCTTCGAAATGTTATCGGTGACGTAGAAAAGGTGACACGGTTTGTTGAATGTTGATGTGGTGTCTTGTTGTTTTTGCGGCTGTTTGTTGATGTTTGTTGATGTTTGTACATGATGTAGGCGACTAAAAGTGTTGTGGCCAGAGGTTGCCGCCGCCATTAGCAACTTGGCTTGGTAGTTTGACGACTTGGTGTCTTTTGCTTTGTAGTTGTATGGTCTCGCACACTTTTTTGCTCTATCCCCATACGTGTTATGGTACCAGCAAACATCTGTCTCCTCACCATCTGCTGCTTTAGATGGGAATTTTGTCTTCGTTAGTTGTTGTTGTTGATGTTTGCGCCTGAATGCAAATACCTCATCTCTCTTAGTCGTTGCCTCTTCGGTACCAGATTTTGTTACGGCGTTGTGTTATGGTGGTAGAACCATTTCGATTGGATATTTGATGCATTCGGTCAGCTATGGTTGCTAACCTTTGTAGCGACTCGTCGGTTGAGACTGCTAGATGCATTTGTATTGCAAATGGTAGCTGGTCCAACCACAATTATTTCAAAATGCTTTCGTCTCTATTGTTTGCCCCCCACAGTCTTTGCATGTGCCTCAATAGTTGTGATGGCGTTCTGTCTTCCATGGCCACGCCTCGGAGCAACGTGCGCAAATTTTCTTCGTCTGAAACCGAATATCTCTGCGTTAACACGCGCTTCAGTGAGGTGTAAGTTTGTGCCGACGCCAATTCCGTCTCCACATCTATGACGACATCCATTGGTAGGCTTTCAACCAACGTGGGGTACCATTCATCTTCTTCTGAGAACCCTCGGCCCTTGAGCACATTCTCGAAATATGTAAACCACGCTTTGGGGTTCGCCGTGCTGAATGTGTTTAGTTGGAGTGGGGCTCTCGTCGCCGTTCTCTTTGTCGTGGTTTCGCAAGCCATCGCGTTCGGGGTCACCAATTTGTTGCGAGTTTCTTTAGATATAAGAAACAACAAGTAAGAATGTTTATAACGTATTTATTTACGTGATACAAAATAAATGAAAACGTGTTCGGCAATGCAATAAGACAAAGAGAAAATCGATCGTAAAATGTCGCTAGAAGAAGAGCTGTTGTCTTTGTGTTGAAGCTATATATAGTAAGTCGTCACATGCTTAGATTAGGGATGTGCGGTTCAACACTTTTCAGGAAAAAATTAACAAAGAGCAACTGTGTTTCATAACCTATGATCACACAAAGTCGTAGGTTAGGTTTGTCTATGAGTACGCACCGCCAATTATTTAAAATCTATTAATCATTATTGATAATTTAATTTGCTGTTTTGTTACTACTGACATGATATATGTTTAGACGAATTTTATCAAAATTTCAATTTTTAAAGATTTTATGTAAGGAATTCTTGTGTTTGTTTTTATAAAATTTATATTCGAGACTTAACATTTTTAATTTTTTTTCACTAGAGAGATTAATATTCATTGACTTCGTAAAATTCAACTTGACAAAAATAGTTTTATTTGAAGTTTTTCGCACTTTTTGTTTCTCCCGCTATACGTACGCATAACCAAATTGTACAAGAGTGTACAAGGGATTTAAAATAGCTAAAATTTGTCCCTTCAATGATAATCGTTTCACAGTAGCAGATTTTTTATTAAGTACTGTAGTAAAAAGTTC